GACTAACAATATATTGCATTTATTTTTTTCATTGCAGGAGTACATCAGACAGTTTTACGATGGCTGGCGGGATCTTATGGACAACAAATCAGATCCGCGCACCCGAGACTATCCGCTCATGAGCTCACCATTTCCAACGATAGCAATCAGCTTGGCCTACGCATACTTCGTTAAGGTAAGTGGAAGGGTAGCACAGACAGACAGACAGACAGACGAACGGACAGACAGACAGTCATCTATAATTACACCTGCTTGTGGTCGATCGGGCAGTAAAATAAAAAAATCCCCAAATGAGCGGCTCGAGAATGTAGCACTTAAGAGTGCTTCAGGCGGCTAGGGATGTTCTAGCTGGTTCCAACTGCCAATCACATTTTGATGATCTGGCACTGGCACGCGGATGCATTTTACGATCGGATTCTGCATGCAGTGAAACAAGTTTTTCATCGCAAAAAAAAATAAAATGGAAAAAAACGTAAATCAAAAGCGATAAAGTGAAACATATTAAATAAGTTCAGGGCCAGTCGAGCCATTCAAAATCAAAGGCAATCAGCGCTAAACGAGCGAAGCCGATGTCGAAATGCGCGATGCTTGACCCAAGTGGGCCAAAATTACATATGCAAAAAAGCCGCAGCAGCAGCAGCAGCAGAAGAAGATGAGGAAGAAGAAAATAAGAAGCAGAAGCAACAAGAAAAGAGAAGAAACAAAATTTGTAAAACCTAAATTCGAAAAACGATTTCTATTTAAGTTTCAGCTTTGCATTGCTTTACATTTTATATATACATATGCATGTAATCATTTAAATGGCTTTCGAATAGCTCACACAACAAAAGACTTAGGCAACGAACTTGTCCCAATATCAACATCAGCCGCAACCTGAAGAGCCGCCGTTTGATTCAATAATTACAGCATTCGTCGCACACCCTTTGTTTGATTATGTAGTATGTGTTAGATGCTCAATTAAAACCAGTGCTGCCGTTAAACGAATTTCGACCATTTTGTATTTGTTTATTTAGATATACATACATTTATATATGAGGACTATGAACTATGCAGAACTCTGAGCCGGATCTCTGAGCCGGTTCTATAATAATGCATAGTTATAAACATTTGTAGTCAGGTATATTTATAATAATAATTATACAAAAGTTTAAATGCATTAACGTACTTTTGATTTATTCTGTAATCAATACGATTTATAGTCTTCAGACATTTTGCGCAGTTCTGTTTGAAATAATTTGTAATATAAATCAAACAGATGAATGCATTTATATTACAAGTGATTTATATTTATGTTATCTACGAGACCTGGCCAAAAATAAAAATTTAATGTGAAAGTAGTGCCACATTGCCTTAAATTATATAAATTATTCTGTACAAGTATAATTGCTCGGACATCATTGTAAATATAAATCATATACATACATGCATTTAAATTTTGAAAATGAATTTTTACTAATGTTATTTAACTTAATATAATTTTTAAAAAATTTAAGGTCAAAAAATATTTTTATGAATTATTTAAATTTGGAAAATGAATTTTTACTAATGTAATTTAACTTAATAAAATATAAAAAAAATGTAATGCCAAAAAATATTTGTATGAATTATTTAAATTGGAAAAATGAATTTTTACTAATGTAATTTAATTTAATATAATTTAAAAAAATTTAATTTCAAAAAATATTTTTATAAATTATTTTAATTATTAAAAAAAAAAAGTTTGTTCTATAAACGGTTTTTAATTTATAAAATAAACATATAAACATTTTATATTTAATTTATATACATAAATTTGAAAAATATAATTAAGTTAAAAAATATTTACAAAATAAAGCTCAAGCTTATTTTTATTATAATTAAAAAATATTTAAGCATCATGGATTCTTCAAACAAAATTTAAATAACAAAAAAAAAAAAAAAAATCTATAAAATATTCTCTATTTATCACACTTCTCTGCAGGTGCTGGGCCCCAAGCTGATGGAGAACAGAAAACCCTTTGAGTTGCGAAAAGTTCTGATCGTGTACAATGCAGCACAGGTTATATTCAGCGCGTGGCTGTTCTATGAGGTAGAGTGTGTTGAAAGCTCTGCCACTATTCGGAAATAAAACCATAAACTTTATATTTCTAGTCTTGCATAGGAGGCTGGCTGAATGGCTACAGCTTGAGATGCGAACCCGTTGATTATTCCTATTCGCCGCGTGCGATACGTGTGAGTATCAAATATATAGACAGCATATACATACATATATGGTATATATATGTCTATGTGTGTGTGTATGTATTTATGATTTAGCTGGTGTTTGTTCAGTGTGCCAGATTTATATGTATTAAGACAACCAGTTCTCTTTGGCTTAAACAAAAGAGGAATAACGGCGACTGGTTCTTATGCTAATCAATCGATGACAAATGTCTATGCCGCGATGCCGGCCGGCTTGGACCGTTCTTGGTCTTGCCTAGATTGAAGACTCACGTGTAAGCCGGCCTTAGAAAGAAAGTGCCAAAAATGATCGCATAGAAAGCCAATAAAAATTTACATGTTCCAATCTATTGATATATATATATATATACATACATATATGGCAAATAATAATAATGTATTTGTATACCCTGTATATTGTTTGCAGACCGCATATGGCTGCTGGTGGTACTACTTCTCCAAGTTCACCGAGTTCTTTGACACATTCTTCTTTGTGATGCGCAAGAGATACGATCAAGTGTCCACGCTGCACGTCATCCATCATGGCATCATGCCCGTCTCCGTTTGGTGGGGCGTCAAATTCACACCTGGCGGACACTCGACATTCTTTGGCTTCCTGAACACCTTTGTCCACATCTTCATGTACGCCTACTACATGCTGGCCGCCATGGGACCCAAGGTGCAGCGCTATCTCTGGTGGAAGAAATACCTGACTGTGATGCAAATGATTCAGTTTGTGCTCGTGATGGTGCACTCGTTCCAGCTGTTCTTCAAGAACGACTGCAACTATCCAATTGGCTTTGCCTACTTCATTGGCGCACACGCCGTGATGTTCTACTTCCTCTTCTCGAACTTCTACAAGCGGGCCTATGTGCAGCGCGATGGCAAGGTATGTGAACAACTATATAAGCAATATACATATATATTTTGCTCATCAATTGCTGTCTCTTCTGCAGGACAAATCGGCTGTTAAGGCCAATGGTCATACAAATGCCGAGATGAAGCAGCTGAAGGACGGCAACAGCAATGGCAATGGCAATGCCCATTCGAATGACTTCCAGAACCGCTTCCAGAACACCTTCTCCAAATTCACCACAGAGATGTGCAATCCGGCTCTCAACTCCAACTCGAAGTCGACGGCGCGACAACGCGTCCTCATCAATGCGGGCAACAAGTGAGAGCCGAGCCGAGCCGTGCCGAGCCGAGCCTACCCGTGCCGAGCCGTGCCGTGTCGAGCCCAGCCAGCCAACCAAGAAACAAAGCATAAATTAATTAAATGTAACAAATTAAATTACCGTAACATTAAATTAAACGTAAGCATAGGGAGTCCAAGCCTAATTCTAAGCCAAATCCACAACGAACATTATATTGAAAGACAACAAAAAAATTAAAATTAAAAAAAAATTAAAACTCGACAAAAAGAGAGAGAAAATCAAAAAACATTTTATCATAAAAATCCAATATGTGGCAATTGCACGTATAGATCAAGCAATTATATTTATATATATATATATATATCTGAATATATATATATGTACGTATAGAATTTTCCAAAATATAGTTAGCTGATAGATCTAGCTAATTCATATATATGTATATTTCTGTTTTATATATGTATATATACAATTTTTTATTATTCGGTAAAAGAAAAGAAAAGAACAATAATTTTTGTAAGCGTGTTTCGTTGGATTTTTTGATCTACAGAAAAATGTGTTTTTTATTTTATAAATAAAATCGAGATTGACAGAAAATTTGTGTGATGTGTGTATTTTTATTAGTAAATAGCTGCCGTTAATGAAGCTGACTCTACCTGAGCAGGTAGCACTTCAATGGGTCTACTCACACGTGTCACCATGATTGAGCAAGCATAAGTAAACACTTTTTAGACCTCAACTAACTGACTAAGCATATTTAATTATATGTACTTGTGCATAACGAAGTAGCATTTGTGTATTTGTTTTTTTTTGTACAAGTGTCGTTGCTAAGGCAAACCTGTTGTCTTTATATATGTATGAATAGGCAATGATGACTCCTTTAATAATTCAAAAAGCCGTTAAGTACGTTTACGATCATCTGTGAGTTTTGGTATTTTTTTTATCAATATATTTATCCAAGTGCACAGTCTGGTCACTCTATTTAGTAACGGAGCTGCCACACCACCACAAACAGTTGGCGCCAAATAGCATGCTCGCTCTTTATCGGAATTACTCAGCTAGATACAAAAAAATTTGCGGCAGCCACTCCAGCATTTTGCGCTCTCTTAGAGCAAATAAGCATAAATTGTGACGTCATTGAGCGACGTATGCAATGTGACGCGCTGCTTTAAATATAACTAAATGAAACATCAGTTTTTTTAATTACCACCTCTGTAATGTTTGTAGACACGATTTCCCTAAATATATTTATTGTTGAGTAAAATGTGATGAAGCATTGATGTACCATACGGATGTAACTTTTGCGATACCTTGTCGATTTTTTGACATCATGAATTCTCTTGACTTTCGTCGTTTTTCTTTTGGGTTTATTGTTTTTGTTGTCCGCTTAGTTTGATTTTAGACTTCCTTGTGTATGGTTGCTGCCGTTGTTGCTACGTTTGCGGTTCGGATATAATTTTTTGTTAAATTCCGATTCTTGTGCGTGGGATACGCGTGAGTTAATTCATAGTGAAACTCAAAAAGTATCACCCAGCAGCAGCCAGAGAAATGTACTTAAGTTAAATTAATGCAAAAAGTTTTCTAAATTATTTAAACGCGCGACGATCAGTGTGATATAGTATATGTGTGTGAATGTCAGCGTGTGTGTATGTGTGTGTGATTGAAATTCTAAAAATTTAAGCAAAATTCCAACGGTGCACGTTCGCTGAGTTCGCCGGCCTGAAATCATTGGCGGTAAGTTCACATCGATTTTCTGTTAGCAACTTGTTGTGCACTCCCAGAATATGCATCCAGTGGTGAAAATTAGTCATCAGAGTAGTTGCTGCGTGGTTTTAATTAAAACAAAAAACAAAAAAAAGCGACAAAATGAAAAAAGAAAAAAAAAACGGTCTCCTGTTTCCCGCCGCGCCCAGCAACGCACCGCAAGAGTGACAAACAGGGAAGCAACAGCCAAAGTAAGAGAGGAAGAGAGTGCACGTGTATGGGGCGCGTAATTCGCTCTTTCCGTGTGTGCGTGTACTTTATAAGGTTGCATGTGTATGTGTGTGCACGCTAGTGTGCGAGAATGAGAGTGAGAGCGCGTTAGCACGTACGTGTGCTGACTGCCCTTTTAAGAGGGGGAGGTCGAGCCGCGTTAATAACTGTTAATTACTGTTCAGGCCCGAATGAAAATATATGTAAATGCATATGTATATATCTATGTATGCATACATGTGCCCACAGTTAAAAAGAAACCCTTGCAAATTCCAATGTAAATTTCCTTAGTTCACTTACAAAAATAAAAACCACGATATGCAAATGCGGTCTCCGTTGTCAATTGCTTGGCACACATTCAGTTATGTCAATTCATATTTGTTGCATCATTTTCTGCCTCTCCCCCAGTCAACGTCGAACTGTCAAGTGCGATTGCGAGCGTGAACGCGAACGTAAAACGCCTGCGCCTGCGCAGCCCTGCATTGCATTTTTGTTTTTGTCGATCACAACAAAAAAGTTTCACCTGTCAGCAATGCGGAAATCGTTGGCAATCGAACAGTGGGCAGTCGGCAGTCGGCAGTCGCCAGTCGATAATCGAAATCGCAATCGCGTTTGCAATCGAGTTCATGTAATGCAGAAGGTCAGCCAGTTAATGCGCCCATTAAGTAAAGCGAATGAAAGCTTGGATTTGTATTTATGTATTTATTTATTTTGTTCGACTGAGCTTTTGCAAATCTGATTGCAACATTTGTTTGCATTGTCTGAAAGCTATAGCTCATTAGCAAACATTGGGTAATAGTAGATATAATATATACAATTAGAATGGTGCATTGCGCTAATTGCATTCTTAGCTTAGCCTAACACTAGTAAATTGTAAAATCAATAAGTAGAAACGAATTAACGCTAAAAACATTTGTTTATAGTCAACAAATGGGAAATCAAAAGTCCTAAGGTTCAAGTTCGCGTACAATTTGTTCACTCTCTCTTCTTCACCGTCTGTCCTCGTTCACTCTCTCTCTCTCTCTCTCCCGCTCGCTCTTTCTGTTGCCACTCGACAAGATGTGCCGCTACTTTTTCAAGAGAGCTGACGCCGCTAACGCTGCACTGCACTCGCTGCCAGCCAATTGGGAGAGTGCTCAAAATATCGTATCATATAGAAATTTCATTTTAGCACCGCAGCGTCCAAAGTCCAAGCCAACTGGCTGCCGAATCGGCTATACACACACACACACACGAATGCATATTCGTGTGCGGTTGCTGTTTGTTGTGTGTGTGTTTCTCTTGCGTGGTCTGCTGATGTCTGATGCCAACGTATGAGTATTTACGTATCTATGTGCGTATGTATGTATGTATTATATGTAGGAGCATCTTATGCTTGATAAGCACTCTGTGCCGCACAGCTATTAGCTTGACGTTCTTTCAACCGGTTTACCCACAAGAAATTAAATCTACAAGAACTTTCATTGCAAAAGCATAGAAAAACGAAAACATGAAATACCCTGTAAGGCGTAATTGTAATGGAATTGCGAACAGCTTGAAGCTCAAGCTCTAGTCAAAGTCAGTTAATGATTAAAGTAGTATGCAAAATAATGATATATCTTATTTCTTATGGCTAGATAGTTAGATTTTATCTAGTGCCACATATGTAAAGCGTAACTGATCATACTTATGCAACATCGTTTTCTAGGGTATTCAGAAGTATTTTTTATTGAAATCGATCCGAGTCTATGCTGTCTGTTGCGGCACGTTTTTACAGTTATTGTGTTTGACCACAAACATTTGAATATTACCACAAAGGCAACAACAAGAACAACTTGAACCGACCGGCCGAGAGGCCACCTGTTGCTCGACTATGAATACAAAAGATGCCGTTATATGGCAGCGGCTATAACACTTGACGGTTTTCGGTGATAATTTTGACCCAATAAGGCGTGGACTTTGCCTGTAACACATTTGCATATTATTTAAGAGAAAAAATAATCAAAAATTGTTGGTTTTACATATGTATGTACATACATACATATGTATGTATATGTAAAGTTTCCCTTTTAAGAGGCTTCGTTAGGGCAATCTGAACTGATCTTTGATTGTCTTGGAGTGGCTTACCCATTTTGGTTTTTATAAAACTACAAAAAAAAAAAAAGAAATAAAACCCGTTTAGGTTTATATAGCGAACCATCTGGAAGCTGTTGCATCCACATCTCTTGGGATTTCATTTTGCACTTTTTGATTTAAGTTAATAGCGTTGACTCAATTCCAAATTTTTCGCACATTAATTTGTCGGCCTTGGCGCGGGACTGTCATTAATTATGTATTCACATGTAGTTTTGCTTTTTTTTTTTTTTTTTTTTTTTTTTTTTTGGGTATTTCACTATGTCTGCAGCCAGGCGAGTTTCAAATTACGTTTGACACACTTGGCTTGTTTGGTTTTCGGCTATTATGTAAGTGCTCAGTTGAACAAAAGGCTTTGACCTTATCCTAGAATTCATTTTAATTATTAACTGATGCAGCTTATAGAAGGTTCGAGTTTTTCACTCGTTTTTAACTAAAGTTAAATAAAGTTAAATACAATTTTTTTTTTTACTGAATGGTTTTGCTAAAAACTAATTCAAAAATTTTTGTAAAACAAAGACTAATTAAAATAAATTTCTAGAAACTACCAAACTACACTAAGCAAATTAAATACATTTTTAAGAATTTAATTTAGTTGAAAACTAAACTAACTAAATGAAATAAAGTTGAAAAAATATATAAATTTATTGAACATTAAGTTAACTACATATATAAAATATTTACTTTTGGCCAGCTTTCACTGTACTAAGCGTGCATATACGTTAAATTCATAATTTTTTTGATATGATAAGTGAAACTTTGCACCCAAATTGCATTTTTTTGCCGCGTTTATCAAAGGACAGCTCGAACTCCAACTTGGGCAGTGAGTTTCAGTTACTTGCGCTTTCATTACAACATTGGCAAACCCAAAAAAAACAAAAAAACAAGAAGCAGATGAAGAAGAAGCAGAAGAAGAGACAACAAGTCAAGCTCGCCGCTAACTGCCTGGTTGGCGAATCGAACGATCGGCCTTTATTTAACTTTTGTAACGCTGGAATGCCAAGTATTTCAGTACAATTTTTGATTGCTGTTGGGTAGTTGGTTTTTGTTGTTGTTGGTTTTTGCTTTTTTTTGGCTGTAACGTCTGTCGTGGCCAAAAGCCGCCCAAGCGTCACGCACTTGAGCTTGTTTTGTTGTTTTGGGCGTTGAGCTACTTTTGGCCCGTTTAGCTGTATCTGCTGTGCTTTTATTTTGCGCTTACTTTGGCGGCCTCTTTCGCGCCCGCCAGCCGGACGAAGAGAGATGAGCAAAATACTGACCGAATTGGTGCAATAAACTGAAAGATATTTATAAATGTGATAAAATATGTACTTGAAACTAGAGTTCTGAAAGTCTTTGATGTACTTCTCAACTAGAAAAAAAAGCAATTGTTTATCTGAGCACATTGACGTAGCTAATCATACTTACTAACTAGTTCAGTTCAACTAGCTTTATTTTTTCTTGTTCATTAATTTGATTGCTCATCTCTATCGAAATCGTTGCTGAACTCATTTCATGCGCTAATTTCGGACGCATCAAAAATTAATTGACTGCCATTACAAACAAATACTCGCACGTATGTGTCTGTCTGTGTGTGTGTGTGCAGGTGTGTGCAGGTAGTTTTAATCGACCTCCATGTGTATGCCCAACTCATTCATAAATAAAACAACATCCACAACAACCACATCTACATAGCATCCACATGTAGCCTGCGAATACGCCATTTTGTTTGTATTTGAAATCAACGCCATCTAGTGCTAATAAGACCTGCATACACATGGAATAATGATTAAAAAAAAATAAAAATTAACAAAATTTACCATCAACAGCAGCAGCAGCAACAAAATTTCAAAGTCAAACGAGTTGAGGGTCAACATTTTACATCCATTGCTCATCCTCGCAATTGAGACAGAGGGGTAAAGAGTGTAAAAAAAAACAAGATATCTATTTCGATTCGGTATTTGCCGTAATCCACATGTGACCCTGAAATTCATTTGCTACGTGCTGTAGTTTCCGTTTTGTAAGAAAGCCAATTCGCTTTGATTTCTCTTCAGTGTGTTGTTTGTGTCTTTGCAATTAATTTTGCACTTGCCCCGCCTCTACGAAAAAAAGGAACACTAAGTTCAGCACAAAATGTATTATTTATTTATCTCTGACTTTGACCCGCTTCGCGTGGTATATTTAATTTCATGCAATGGGACAAGTAGGCGTCGAGCCGATAAGCAAATATAGAGAGTGCTCGGGATGGAAGTGCTCGACTATGAGATACCGTTAACTTTTGACAAATCTCTGAGAAAAATGGAGTACTCGCAATTTGTAATATTCAAATTGTCTGTATTTATCGCAGAAAACTCTCATGTTATGCCTTAAACCCTGTCTACAGTTATCGATTAATATCGATAACATGGAAACTTAACGTATTTCATACATTTTATATGTCTAGTTTTTAACTCTTACGATTAAGTAGGTCGTACAAATCAGAAAGTACAGGAATCAGACAATCGATCCAGATTTATATATTCGGAAGTCCGATAGATCAGTTACATACATTATAAGGTATAGCAATTTATTTTAACATAACCTGTTGCATATCAGTGCACTGGGATACATAAATAATAATAAAATAGAACAGGTTAATTTAGAAAAATATCTTAATTAAAATTTCTTTA